ACCCGACAGTGGCTGCTTGTGGCTCTTGCCCAGCCCCATCAGCTGTCTGGCTGCTGCTTTACTGCTCGGCACGTCACAGCTCAGCTGAGCCGGCTGGCCTTTCGTGGCGAGGATGACTCTGTTTTCTGACCTGATGCTGCCTTTTCTGAGCTTGGAAATTGGCTTCTCCTGTTTGGAGTGTTTGCTTTAGGTGGAGAGAAAACAAAGCAGGCTCGTGTTCCCTGGCGGGGGTAGCTTCTGAACCACATCTGTAGAACTTTGATGTACTTTCAGAGCGGTCCTGGGCAAAAACTTGTCAAGCATGTTTTAGTTAATCTGTGTAGGCCAACGAATCTGCGCTTAAAACCAGGTTTACCTGAGGCTGTTTTAAACTGCACTGTAAAACATAATATATATCGAATATAACCCTCAGAATTTAATCAGTAAGGATCTGCACGTGTTGGATTCTGTGCCCTGCTTGGGGAAGGGAGCAGAAGAGGGAATTAAAAAGTTTATCCTTGCTGCTCCCCAGTTTGAACCTGGCAGCTCTGTAGTTTTTATTATCTGAGTTCTTTGGTTTCCACGTAGTGTTTTTTGCATTACAGCATAGGCAACAGAACTTGCAGGAGCCCTTCACAGCACCCAGTTACCTGCTGCAGAAGAACGAGATGCTAAGCTTCCATTCTTGTTTTTTATTTCCCTATTTGTAACTGCCTCTGCAATATTAATACTTCTGAGATGAGCCTGGCACAAGATTCTAAGCTCAGCATGAATTTTTAATAAAACTCTGGGGAGTACTGCAAACAGACGTGAAGTCAGCAAGTAATTCCTTTAGTCCAATAATGAACCTTTTCTCAAGCATGTTTCTCGTCCTCTGGGCGGTCAGATCTTGCAGCTCCATTCCGGAGTACCTGCACACCACTGATTGTAGTTAAAATCCTGCTGTGTGTTACAGATAACAGGATCAAGGATACGAACACTGTTGAGTAAGAGGTTGGGAAGTGTTTTCCAGTGCCACGGCCAAGGGCTGTTTTGGCGTATTGTTCCTGAGGCTCAGAGCTCCACAAGTAGAATGTATTGAATAGAGCCATTTCAGAATATGTAAAAAAAAGCAGCCCTGCCCATAGCAGATTGTTTCTTTTCTGTTGGAATCAGGAAATTTCTCACTACTCTGATTGTTCTACTAATGCCGATTGGATGCTCGCACTAGGCACCACGTTGTCTGGTTCTGAGGACAAAAGAGTAACCAGATACGGTTAAAATACCCAACACCGGTCAGACTGAGTAAGAACTAGCAACAAGGAGCGGGAATCAACAAAAAAGAAATCTTCCAGTGCTGACACAACCCAAGCACATCACATGTCAGCAAAGGGACCGTATTACACGGCGAACTGGAGCGCGAAGCTCCGCAGCACTGGCTTTCTCGTGCTGATCCACTTTGATCCGGTGGGGAGCTGCTGCTCGGTCCTTCTCTCTCGTTCTGTTCAAACCGCAGTCCCTGAACTGTTTCTCTCGTGTGGAGCTAAAACCCTCTGTGCCCCTGGGGAGTGGTGGTGGTTTGTAGCACCCTCGTGTTGTGCTGTTTCTGCATTAAGTCTGGAGACATGAAGTCGTCTTTCAAAATAAGTGGGGCCGGCTCGCCGCAGGCTAATGGGGCTCTCGGAGGAAAGGGCTGCTGAGTAGCGGGAATGCTGACCTTACTCTGCTGCAGTGTTCCTCTGTAGAGAGCTCTTTTCTTAAAAAGAGCCCTAAGGTAAAAGAACCCAGAGGTTTTCTAGATTGAAGCCAGCGCCGTGACTTGCATCGTGAAACCACTGATGTTCAAAAAGTTTCAGGAGCAAATCCCCAAAAGTGCTGAGCGCCGCGCTGATGCAGCAGAGCGGTAAGCGGACGCTTAGCCCACAGAAATAATCTCGTGTGCTCCAAGTGAGAAAGAACTGGTGGAACAAACGTACCCACAATTCACTGTAGATCCATGACAAGAATTAGTGACTCTGCAAGTCACTGGCTGCTGCACAATTCTTGTTTTCTTCGTTTATTAAAAGGCACCAGATCACTGCGATCGGTTAAATCCAAAGCAGCTTTCGGGGAGTTCATAGCAGGCCCAGAAATAACGAATGTTTGTGCAATTTCACATCGAGGGAAGTAATGGAATTGATTTGGTTGGGTTTGGTTCTGTTTTTAATCGCTCTGAAATCATTTGCGGCCAGGTGCACCACTAAACACGAGCTTAATTTCCTAAGGAGCTGCCAGCAGTTTAACCGTTTTCAGCAGTCTGTTTTTCTTCCTTCAGAGAAGGATTGGGTGGGGGAGAGTTGAAGAGCAAAGAAGGAAAGCAGTGAGTAAAAGGATATATTCAGCTGTGGACACCGTAGCATGTGCTGCTGCTTGTAAAGTGTGACTCAGTGCCTGGCCGAGGGCACAAAGATCACTCCTTTTTGCAAAACAAACTGGAAAGTTGTTATTTCGTCCCTGAGCCTGTTGTCTTTCTGTCAAGCGCTTTTTTTACCTTTCTTCTCTTTATGTTTTTATTCTAGGCTTGTACTTCATGTAGCGAATTGACACGTATGTGATTGCTTTTTGTATTTTAGAGGAAATTTTCCTGTCTTTTAATACAAGTCTTTCATTTCCCCCAGCGGATGAGGAAGTTTTCAAGATAGAATTATTTTTGAGAACCGAAGATCATCAGCCAGTCAGCTCCAATGGAAAGTTACATTACTTTTTTCCATCGTTCTCGGAGTGTTTGAGAGACTCACAAGTGGCAAAACGATGTGGCTATGCAAGCATATATTTTATCTTGAAATATAACATTGAATTCTGCCAAGATCAACAAAACTATTTTTCTAGCTGAGAGCCCAGGTTAAGTACTATCTTGGTTTTTAAGAATCTTAAGTGTGTAACTGTTACAACATAGGAACTATTTTTCTTATTTTTTTTTCTTGGTGATGGCTCAGAAATATTTATAGAGTATGACACAGCTGAGCTTTTTTGTCCTTGTTGTTAGTTTATTGTTTCTGTTCTGGAGTTCTTGCCATGTGGAGAGAGATGAATAAAGTTTATAGGAAGTTCCCAGTTAAGTGTTGTAAGCAGGAACGGCCTCCTACGGCGCCGAGATGGGCGAGCTGTCACCCCAAGATGGGCTAGTAAAGCTGATACCTTTTGCTTTTATCTTTCTTTCCTGTTTAACCCCCTGTCCAACACATTTTGGACTTACTTTACGACGATTCTCTGGGACGTAGGACACCGACTTGCAGGGCCGCTCGGTGCCGTGGGGTTTGTGAGCCGTTCGGGATGCCCGTGCCAACTCCGCGTGGGGGCAGCGGAGGGGTGGGAGTGTCCAGCTGTATCCGATGTCACGAATTAATTACAGTGAAATACAACACTTGCACCACACTTTCCTCTTGTCTTGCCTCTATTTTTCCCTTTAATTACCTAAATGACAGCCTGTTTTCCTTCGTGTATTAATGGCCTCAGAATGAGTCGATTAATTCTAGTCATAGCTGCCGTCCTCCCCACTC